TTTTTTTTTTACAGACGACAGACAACTCTCTGCAAGATAAGTAACTTTTGATATACATCAAAGAATTAATAATACTGTAAGTATTAAGTGAAATATACTGAAGCTTTATGAAATTATTTTAACTTTATTATTACCTTTAATTTTGTTTAATTCGTGTCTGTCTAATTTTTTTTTTAGCATCTATTTTTGGTGGATGCAGCAACACAGTTGCAAGACAGGAGAAGTACTGCTCCAGAGGAAGACAAGGAAGAGAAACCTATTATAATTAATTTTGTCTAATATAGGCAATTTAATTTAGTTAGTTTAACTACAATACAGAAGTTTTGCTAACATCTTGTTGAATATTGTGATGCCGTAATCCCGGTGAAAGCAGTTGTACTGTATAATTTGTTGCAGCATCAAGACAACAATTGCTTAATTCTGAAAAAAACTGAGTATATTGTACAGAAGATATAAACTGGCTAATTACAATCAGACCAGAGAACCAGAAAACTACTACGATTACTAGCAGAGCATTTTAACTTTCTATATAATGAATTGTTGATGCCTAATAATTTACATTATGTGATTTTGGTTATGAAGATAATAAAAAATATAAGTAGTGTGTTGACTTTTCTTTGCTGTTCAAGTCTGAAGACTGGTGGATGCAGGTAAGTTGTTGCAGGATCAAGACAACAATTGCTTCATTCTGAAAAACTTATATATTGTACAGAAGATATGAACTAATTAATTACTAAGAGAACCAGAAAAATACCATAACTTGCATTTTAACTTTCCATATAATGAATTGTTGATGCCTAATAATTTTCATTACGCGATTTTGGTTATGAATATAATAAAAAAAACCAATAGTGTTTCAAGTTTGAAGACTGATGGATGCAGGTAAGATGAAAAAAGTGCCCTCCAATAGAAAAAGCTAATTTTTCCCATGTTCCTCAATTTCTATCAAAAGTGGTGCTGAAGGGCACCCTCCAATAGAAAGCTAAAATTTCCAGGGTCTCTAAAATTATTTAAAGGGGTCCTGTGTGGTGCTGAAAATCGCCCTCTATAGCCATTTTAGTTCAACGTTTTTCGGTGGTCTCTTATTTGTCATTAATTTTATTAATAAGGTGGTAGTGCCCTCTAATAGCCAGTTTTTATGCCATTCTAAAAAACTTGGATGTTAGAGGGCGCTTACTGCCATTGACAGTTAAGAGGCCCTAAAAAACTTTAAATCAAAATGGCTATTTAGGGCGATTTTCTTCACTATTTTTATCAGAACCGGACAGATTATTGTGGCCAAATAACTTAGTCATATTATGGGCCTTTTCTATTCGAGGGCGCTTTTTTTTTTTTTTACCATCCTGCTCATTCAATACTCGAGAAGAAATAAACAATTCAATACTATACTGAATACAATTAATATTTATTTATTCAATTCTATTACAATAAATTATTCAATACTAAACTGAATACAATTAATTATTTATTTCAAAATATTGTACAATACTAAATAAATACAATGAATATTTATTTCAAATATATAACCAGAATTGAATGCTTGAATTACCGAATCAGTTGCCACATTCTGAAAGAGTATGAAATATGAAATTAAAGCGATAAGCTAGAGTGGAAAGCAAAAACATTTATGCAAATTAATACAACAATATACAAGTCTAGTGGAAAGGGAAAATATTCAAAGTTATTTTTAATGGAAACATTTACGCAAATTTATACAACAATTTATAAGTCTAGTGGAAAGGGAAAATATTCAAAGTTATTTTTAATGGAAACATTTACGCAAATTTATACAATAATTTAAAAGTCCAGTGGAAAGGGGAAATATTTAAAGTTATTTTTAATTGAAACATTTACGCAAATTTTTACAACAATTTA